TCATTTTAAGTTACATTGTGCTTTGTTGGTATAGTGTCTGTTAGAATGTTAAAAATGTTCAGTGTTAAATATTTTTAAATTGTTGTTTTGTAATTGATTTTTTTTCTTTGAAAAGCAGGACAAAACAGTAAAAAACACATTTTGGCTTTTTAATTTATGCAATGGTGATATTTTGTTTTGCCAAAATACATGGGAAAAAAAAACTTATTTGGTATTCGGCCCTCGGGCCCAGTGTTTAATTTTGTTCGGTTTCGGCCAAGAATTTTCATTTTGGTGCATCCCTATTGTTAAGAACTTCATTTGGACAACTTTAAAGGTGATTTTCTCAATATTTAGATTTTTTTGCACCCTCAGATTCCAGATTTTCAAATAGTTGTATCTCAGCCAAATTTAGAAAAATTGACACTTAAGACTGGTTTTGTGGTCCAGGGTCACATATGTCTTATTCCTATTGCCCAGGGTCCAGTGACCCTGCTGGCCTGTGTCATCTTGACCAGTCACTTTCCGCCTGACAGGATGAGAACAGAGGCGGCGCCACTCTTAAGCGCCGGCGGCCCCTGATGTCTCTACGAGCCGATGCTGATCAAATCCAGCCTGGCTGCGTTTGTATTGCTTCATTATACTGGATGGTGATCAAAGTGTTTCTCTTCTCTAAACGCTGCAGGTCGGGACATTAGATGTTCTGGTGGGGCTGTCTGATGAGCTGGCCAAGCTGGACGCTTTTGTCGAGAGGTAAAGCTGTTTTTCTTTCTTTTTTACATTCAGCACCGATTCAGCAATTCCAATGTAAACGTTTACATTTTCATGCAAAATGACTCCCAAGCCTCCGTCTATAGATTCTAGGCTCTCTTGGGCCCTCATTCAATCTAAGCCAATAGCTTTTTGGGGGTTTTATCGTCCATCAGATGAGATTCGTAAACTGTAATGATTCATATCTGTAACACAAACGGTGTGGGATGAGTTATGCACCAAACTTTAATACTTAGGGTCAGGGGTTTGAATCGCTCACCCTGAAATGAGCAGTACGCTGTAAAAATAATTTTTCGAAGCTGTAAATAAAACAAGAATTAGTGGAGAAACTACAAGAGACGATTTCAGTCTTGCTACTTCAAAATTTCACATTTAATTCAATGTATTTACATGCCATTTCTTTGTAATTGCTTGTAAAGTAAAACTTACTAGTAATTTCTGAATGAAAATTGTTTTTTTCAATGTAGTAATAGGGATGCTTCACTATAATAATACTAATTTAAAGGATTTTCTACCTAAAAGAATCAAATATCTCGCAGATTTGAGTTTTTGTGGTTTCTAGTAATGATGTATCAATGGTCAGAATTCTGTCAAGATGTCTTAAGCGTGTGTCTTTACTTTTGTGCGGTGAGGAATCTCATATAGAGGTGAGGTTACCGTGGCATCTGCCTAAAATTAGTTATTAGCAGTTTGGTGATGCACTAGCGATCAGATTTAAATTGCATGACTTATAGCTCATCCTTAGATGTGAGATTCTTTTTTTTCCTCAAGTTGAGTGCTTTTGCCTCGGATAAATCCAGAACCTTGATAAAAGATGGTTAAAGTCATTCTGGAGCATGTCCAGACCATGTGTCTGATATATATTACCTGTATTTTATTTTTCTTGGTTTGGCAACACCAGATTGTTGGATGCGAATAGTTATTTTAATCTATAGTCAGCCAGAATATTCTCAGATTTTTAGAAAGCTTTATTTTGATGTTATCAGAAGCCATTTTTCTAAATGAAACTGGGTGTCTGGGACACCTCAGTGTTCCTGAATCATCCGATATGTGTGAGGTTTTGATGACTTCTGTGTCTTGGAGAATGTCCAATCTTGGAGGATTGGAGAGAGTTTTCAGAGGGCTGTGATGTCTTTTGATGCCGTTCACAGTGTGGTGAAGAAGGTGGCTCAGTACATGGCAGACGTGTTGGAGGACAGTCGAGATAAAGTGCAGGAGAACCTGCTGGCTAATGGAGGTGGGAGTCACTGGTATCTGTGGCATGAAATGGGATCAGACACTGTTGCTGGTTTGTTGAAGTAATTCTCATTTTTTTGTGCCGTGTTTTAGTCGATCTGGTCACCTACGTCACAAGATTCCAGTGGGACATGGCCAAGTACCCTATCAAACAATCCTTGAAGAACATTTCTGAGATTGTATCCAAGGCAAGTGATCTGATCCAATGATTTCTATGTGAATTTTGGGACTAAATTCGGCAATGACCTTTCGTTTAGTACTGGTTGCTTACAGTAAAATGAAAGTCATTGCAATATTCATAATGGTTCTTAATTTTTCTCATCACTTGATGGGAATGTATTGCGAATATCTGAATATCACCCAGCCCTGTTTAAACGCATATTATTGATATGGAGTCATGCTGTTCTGCTGCGTGAATGATGACTAAAGATGCAGTTTTAAATGATACTCTCTCCCCCTGCTGTTCAACAGCAAGTCTCACAGATTGACAACGACCTGAAGGCTCGAGCGTCAGCCTACAACAACCTGAAGGGAAACTTACAGAATCTAGAGAGGAAGAACGCGTGAGTAAATTCAGACATGTCAGACTAACTCTTATTTTTAGGTGTTTTATTTCACATTTATTATTTAGGCTTTATAATACATTTAGTAACCTGGAAACCATTTATTTGTTTGGATGCATTGATTTCCTAATTGATGCATTGATATTAATTGATTTTTTTTTTTTTTTTAGTAAGTGCAGAATTTATGATGCAGCTTACAAATTTAAAGAAATAATTTTTTTACAATGCAAAATTCAGATTTTCATGGAACACAAGTGATTTCTCTTTTTTTAAACGAATATTCATGCACCACTTTTCCAGTTTATACATCTGACAAACTCCAAAAAAGGAGTCCCAAATAGTCAATTTATGTGTTTGGGTGAACTACTCCTTTAAGAAAACAACATATTAAAGGAAAGACTTTTCCAAGAATCATTTTCCAATGAACCAATGTGATTTTTTTTTGTCTCACCAGAGGGAGCCTGCTGACCAGGAGTTTGGCAGATATTGTCAAGAAAGACGACTTTGTGCTTGATTCGGAGTACCTCATTACTATGCTGGTGGTCGTACCAAAGTAAGTGATAGATTCCAAATAGGGCTGGGCGATTTTTCAGATTTTATTGATTAATTAGAATTTAAAGGGGTCATATGATGCGATTTCAAGTTTTGCTTTCTCTTTGGAGTGTTACAAGCTGATTGTGCATAGATAAGATCCCTGAAGTTGCAAAGACTAAAGTCTCAAAACCAAAGAGATATTCTTTATCAAAGTTAAGACTCTGCCACACCCCCCTAAAATGCCTCGTTCTAACACGCCCCCACATATCTACCTCACTATGTGGAAATATTAGCATAGGAATCTATGTTTAGGAATCTTTAAGATGAATATTTAGGAATCTTTAAGATTACTTACAACAGAACAGCATGCGTGCGTGCGCGAGTGTGTGTGTGAGACAGAGTGAGAGAGAGATCACAGTGGAGTCAGCTGTCTTAACCGTGGCTTGTGTACTGCAAACACATACCAGCTTCATCACTGTGTCTGTCACGAGACTCTGTTCCCCTTTCGGGCTCTGTCTTTACATTTATTTTGAAAGATGAAGCTGGTGATTATGGTAAGGGGCGTTACATTTCTGACACGTGCTTGTGGTGTTCGGCCAATCACAATGCACTGGGTCAGCTGGCCAATCAGAGCAGACTGCGCTTGTCGGAAGGAGGGACTTTGTAGAAAACGAAGCGTTTGAGAGAGGCGGGGCATAGAGGACCTACAATAATGTACAGTATTTGAAAAATAATGTGTTTTTTTAACATTAAAGCATGTCAACATATTCTGTTACACCAAATACACAAAATAATGATCTTTAAAAAAAGCATCATATGACCCCTTTAATGTTTTGCCACGATTTGATTTTTTTATAAATTGAAGAATCGCAATTTTAAATAGAAATCCTACCAAATGTTAGACATGTTGACAATATTGCTAATGTTAAGAGAAAAGAACGATCCGACCTCATGAAGGCACATGTGATTAACCGCTCTTTAACTAGATGGTTACAAAGAAAATATTCCTTGAATCATGCTGTAGTTAAATTTTTAAGCTGACAAGTTAAATTTAAAAAAAGAAATTGAAATTGAGAATTGTCAAACGTTCTGAAAAAAAAAAAATTATAATTTTTTCGGCCATATTTCGGCCCAGCCCTAATTCCAACAGAAAATAGCCGCTCTGAACATCTTTATGGATGCACACAAACCAATTGTGTTGAATTTTTCCTCATGCACATACTGACAGCACATTTTCTAACCCTTTAGAACAAATTATTCCGACTGGCAGCGCACTTACGAGACTCTTTCAGAAATGGTGGTGCCACGATCTACAAAGTAAGAAACTTCCAACAATTCTATCAGTCGTTCACACTTATTTAGGTTTATAATTCTAAAAGTGTATTGCACGTCTAAGGAATCGTGCACCTGGTCACAAGTCACAGAATAGAAATTAAGGAAAATGTATCAAATACCAATTAGAACATACTGTGTTTTGACTTCAGATGATGAAATTATTAATTTTAAGAGTATCATATAGGTGTTTTTTAAAAGGTGTTTATTTAAAAAAAAAAAACAGATTAAATCAAATTTTTGGGAATGTTTTGGGTTAATTCGATTTCTAGGGAAATCAGTGCGTCTGATTGGCCTCTGGTTGAGGAGAACATGTTTAGGACTTAACTAGACAAGTTAGTGGCATGCTGGTTACGAAGGAAACCAATTAACTAATGCAGAAGAAAAAACAGACACTATTTCTTCACTGCAGTTTGCTTTTTGAGGACCAGGAGAGCGGCCTGTTTACCGTCACGCTCTTCAGAAAGGCCATCGATGACTTCAGACTCAAGGCCAGAGAAAACAAGTAAGCTGCCGCTTTCAGCTCCACCGTGTGGTCATGAATCACCATTTAAATGTCTGAGAGAATATCCAGGTTAAGGATCTTAATGCCTTAGTCATCCCAGTGTCTGCTTTACAGGTTCACGGTCCGGGACTTCCAGTACAACGAGGAGGAAATGAAAGCAGATAAGGAGGAGATGACCAGACTCTCAACTGACAAAAAAAAACAGTTTGTATGTATCTGCTAGATGGATGCTCTGTGCAATTGGCATGCTACTTCATTTGAACTCATTCATACATGTGTCCTCTGCAGGGTCCACTTGTTCGATGGCTGAAGGTGAACTTCAGTGAGGCTTTTATTGCTTGGATCCATATTAAGGCTCTGAGGGTCTTTGTGGAATCAGTGTTGAGGTAGCGACACGATACAACATCTCTTGAGGTTCTTAGAGAGCTCATATCATGAGGAATAAGAGTTCATTGTATAATGCCAAACTGACCACCTCATACCCTGTCCAAAATGAGCATTTATTGAAACTAAACTGCAAAACGTCTCATTCTGAACTTCTACAACTTGCTGATGTCGGCTAGATGAATACATGAGCAGTTTGAACACATATCATCATTTGTTTTATAAATTTGTCCCAATGTAGCTTTACAAAGAGGCTGTTATTATATAGGATGGACCTATGGGACAGTGAAAAACTAGACTTAAAACTACATTAAAATAAGTGACGGATTGAAATTGCGGCAACCAAAAATTTTCATACGAAAGTGCATTTTTTAATTAAATTTACCTCGGGAAAGATCAACTCGAAAAAATAACTCTAGAGAGGAGCATTTTGCTACTATATTACATATTCATTGTATTTTTACTTAAACTGTTGTCTTCATTATATGATGTAGCCTATGTTTGAATAAATCAAATTACTATTTTTTTTATTACAGCCACCATTTAAATGTTTATATTTCAACAACAAATTAGAGTAGAAATGTGATTGTTATTAAAAAGTTGTCATAAAAACGGCATTATATGTAATTAAAATTTTGTACAACTACAATTTATTTTCGGTATCGATTTTCAGTTAGACGAAAACTTGCTTTCTGTAAAAAATAAATTATAATCGGCGCAATAATATTAATACATTTACAATAAAAAAATTTTTAAAAAAAATGTAACTATGGTTCCCCAAAAGGGACCAAGACACTGCTTCCTTTAGTGGACACTATGGCATTCCCCACGCTGTGCTAGTTCCCTTGAAGGGGAACACCATTTTAAAAAGGCCAGTTTCGGTTACGACCAAGTGCATCCTAAATTTTCAGATTAAGTTTTGGCCCAGAATTTTCATATCAGTGCATCACTCATTTAAATTTTTTTTTTTCTAAACACACAGATATGGATTGCCTGTGAACTTCCAAGCAATGCTGCTACAGCCCAACAAGAAAAACATGAAGAAGCTGAGGGAGGTTTTGAACGATCTTTACAAGCACCTGGACAGCAGTGCAGCTGCCATTATCGACGTAAGTTTACTTTTGGCCGTAGGCTGTGTTTTTGTGTTGTGTGGCTTAAATACATGGAATTATTTTACATTTTATGTAAGTTGTTGTCGTCATCTTTTTCCTGTTCCAGCAATCTGCCATGGATATTCCTGGCTTGAACCTCAGCCAGCAAGAATACTATCCCTACGTGTACTACAAAATCGACTGCAACCTACTGGACTTCAAATAGAAGAACCGCTTGTAATCACATGCCCCTCCTTTTGTTTTGTTTTGTTTTGTCTCAGTGAATAAATCTAATTTAAATTAAACTGTATATTGCTGAACTCTTGTTCTAGTCACCTCGCCATGCATGCTCATTCATATTCAGAGATACTTCTCTATTGCCGTTCAATCAACGACTGCAGGAGAGTATCTACATCTGCCGCCCCTAGTACTTTGTTTACATTTTTTTAAAGAATGTCATTGTGTTATCATATGTGCAGGTGAATGAAATCATGCGTTTTAAGTAGAGCCCGACCGATATATCGTTTAGCCGATATGAGCCTGTCTCCGATATATCGGTATCGGCGAATATGCCGCCGATATGAACATTTTTTTTTTTACAGAACATATAACGCAGATTAAATGCTTCTGAATGGTGTAGTTACTTAGTTTGTCCAGCAGAGCACTCTCCATTGTTTGCTACTGGACCCAGGTCAGTGTAGTGTAGAGATGCGCGGATGAACTCAAACTTCAACCGAGTCCTCTGCTTCAAATTGCCCGCCCGCCACCCACCCGCACCTATATTTGATCGCCCCATTACAGTGATTCTAATTTTTAGTTTTGCATGATGATATGATGAATGGATGGTTCATTTAACAGCAGATTCAGTGACCCAGAACTCATGCTTATCACATCGGTCACAACGCACGGCGCAACAAAATACAATAGAATTCTATTGTATTTAAACACGCCGCTTGAGTCCGGTGTAGAATAGAACCCATTATGTTGTCTACACCGGATTCAGTAAACTGATGCCTCGTTCTATTTATGACGTGCTGACAGAAGATCAAATGATTTTCAACGGTCGCTTTGCGATTTTCAATGGTCGCTTTGCGATCTGTTACAGCGCAGACACGGTGTCAGCATAGTATGTCAGTACAGTCAGTAACGTAGCAGAGTCTGTTGAATGGTGATTTAACGCTACGTTGTCACCTACTTGGAGAGACTCCATGCTAAGTAAATAAACATCAATGCCATCGTCTTTTACTCTCACAATGAGCTTATCATATTCGTTTGCTACATTAGTAGAGCCCTATGTTTTCCGTGATGCAGAAAACTTGAACGGAATCGCGGAATCCAGTCATAAAAATGGAATTTACTGCATAACGCGGAATTTGATGGAATTTGTCTTATTTTTGATGAATAAATAAAAAAACAGGTCAGTATATATATATATATATATGTATATGTGTCTGTGAATATTAAACTGCAAAAAGACAATTTAAATACGAATGTCCTGCATGTTCACTGGATTACCAGGAAATACATAACACGGAGTTTGTGAAAAAAATATTATTCATTGTTGTTATTTATACAATTTAGATGTTTACATTTGGAAAAGCTGTGCTTCCTGCATAAACCTGCCCCTGTTGGTTTGGCAGTAGCTTGCTTGCCCTACTACCTTGTTTAATTTCTTAATTCAAGTTATATATATTTTGTTCTATTTGTGTTATTTATAATAAGTGAAGTGAAGTTTACTGTTAAGTGCACTGATGTCAGACTCACTTTGAATAATAAAGTTTATTGTTAAATTGTTAAATACCCTGCCTCCATTACATAGGCCTATGTTTTTCACATCATTATAAGTGTTTGATCACCACATTTGAGTTATCATTGCAAAAAATGTGTATATGTATACATATTCTGTTTATGTAGGCTATATACTGTATTCTATATACAGTACCAGTCAAAGGTTTGGACACGCGAATGGGAAGTGTGTCCAAACGTTTGACTATACTGTACTATAATATAGCCTACACATAAATAATATCGGCCGATATATCGGTATCGGTCTTTTTTTACTCCCTAATATCGGCATCGGCACCCAAAAATCCCATATCGGTCGGGCTCTAGTTTTAAGTCATTCCACTCATGTTTTGTGACATGTAGTAGTTACATCTGATGTTAGTGATAGGTATTATTGTGTGTGGACAACTGTGGTTTTAACATTTATTCTTGAAAATGCACCAGTGGTCCATTTTAAATAAACAAAATGAGAGAAACAAAAGTGTTACAAAGATGCAATATAAATGTGATGTTATGTACATTTGGTGTTTAAAGAGCTATATGTGCGAAATTACTGTGTCATGGAACCAAAATATAAAATTATTGTAAGTACATAAACAATGTGTGGTGTTTGTTTGTAAAACCCATTTACCAACTAAAATTGCATTTCCAGAAGGCCAGTCACAATAAGATGTGCGAATAAATGAAAGAAAGAAGGCTAATTGCAATTGAATTTGCTCACTGAATTTTGAATGTTTGCCAGTTAGGGTGAGAGACTTTTATTTTTTAAAGTATAAATATTTAGAAAAAAAAGTATATATTTACCAAACAAAACGGCATTAACAGTTGCATTAATGGGTCTGTAATTATCTCTAAAACAATTAAAGTGGAATCAGTACATTCAAAGTAGAACAACCACTATAAAAAATAATGAAATGTTATTCATTTGCATTTATTAAATATTAATTTTGACCCCAAAAAAAGGCTATAAATATCAAAAGCTAAATAAAAAGCTATACTGCTTTGCAGAAGCAATGATAAAAGAATAGATGATGACCCAAAAAAGAATGTTCTGTCATTATTTACTCACCCTCATGTGGTTCCAACCCATGTTTACGTAAACAACAGAGAACAGTGTTACCAAGTCTGCGGTTCTCCTGCGGAATTGGGCTACTTTAACACTGTTGCCACGGGTTGAAGCGACCCCAATAATGTGATATTTAGCCCCTGGAATGCGAATTTTTCTGGAGGATCTAGAAAAGTAACTGCGTTAGTTACTTTTTATGAAAAGTAATGCGTCGTTACGTTACTTGTGTGTTCGGCCGATATATCGGTATCGGTCTTTTTTTACTCCCTAATATCGGCATCGGCACCCAAAAATCCCATATCGGTCGGGCTCTAGTTTTAAGTCATTCCACTCATGTTTTGTGACATGTAGTAGTTACATCTGATGTTAGTGATAGGTATTATTGTGTGTGGACAACTGTGGTTTTAACATTTATTCTTGAAAATGCACCAGTGGTCCATTTTAAATAAACAAAATGAGAGAAACAAAAGTGTTACAAAGATGCAATATAAATGTGATGTTATGTACATTTGGTGTTTAAAGAGCTATATGTGCGAAATTACTGTGTCATGGAACCAAAATATAAAATTATTGTAAGTACATAAACAATGTGTGGTGTTTGTTTGTAAAACCCATTTACCAACTAAAATTGCATTTCCAGAAGGCCAGTCACAATAAGATGTGCGAATAAATGAAAGAAAGAAGGCTAATTGCAATTGAATTTGCTCACTGAATTTTGAATGTTTGCCAGTTAGGGTGAGAGACTTTTATTTTTTAAAGTATAAATATTTAGAAAAAAAAGTATATATTTACCAAACAAAACGGCATTAACAGTTGCATTAATGGGTCTGTAATTATCTCTAAAACAATTAAAGTGGAATCAGTACATTCAAAGTAGAACAACCACTATAAAAAATAATGAAATGTTATTCATTTGCATTTATTAAATATTAATTTTGACCCCAAAAAAAGGCTATAAATATCAAAAGCTAAATAAAAAGCTATACTGCTTTGCAGAAGCAATGATAAAAGAATAGATGATGACCCAAAAAAGAATGTTCTGTCATTATTTACTCACCCTCATGTGGTTCCAACCCATGTTTACGTAAACAACAGAGAACAGTGTTACCAAGTCTGCGGTTCTCCTGCGGAATTGGGCTACTTTAACACTGTTGCCACGGGTTGAAGCGACCCCAATAATGTGATATTTAGCCCCTGGAATGCGAAGTCTTTTTTTACTCCCTAATATCGGCATCGGCACCCAAAAATCCCATATCGGTCGGGCTCTAGTTTTAAGTCATTCCACTCATGTTTTGTGACATGTAGTAGTTACATCTGATGTTAGTGATAGGTATTATTGTGTGTGGATAACTGTGGTTTTAACATTCTTGAAAATGCACCAGTGGTCCATTTTAAATAAAATGAGAGAAACAAAAGTGTTACAAAGATGCAATATAAATGTGATGTTATGTACATTTGGTGTTTAAAGAGCTATATGTGCGAAATTACTGTGTCATGGAACCAAAATATAAAATTATTGTAAGTACATAAACAATGTGTGGTGTTTGTTTGTAAAACCCATTTACCAACTATATTTGCATTTCCAGAAGGCCAGTCACAATAAGTGCACAATGTGCGAATAAATGAAAGAAAGAAGGCTAATTGCAATTGAATTTGCTCACTGAATTTTGAATGTTTGCCAGTTAGGGTGAGAGACTTTTATTTTTTAAAGTATAAATATTTAGAAAAAAAAGTATATATTTACCAAACAAAACGGCATTAACAGTTGCATTAATGGGTCTGTAATTATCTCTAAAACAATTAAAGTGGAATCAGTACATTCAAAGTAGAACAACCACTATAAAAAATAATGAAATGTTATTCATTTGCATTTATTAAATATTAATTTTGACCCCAAAAAAAGGCTATAAATATCAAAAGCTAAATAAAAAGCTATACTGCTTTGCAGAAGCAATGATAAAAGAATAGATGATGACCCAAAAAAGAATGTTCTGTCATTATTTACTCACCCTCATGTGGTTCCAACCCATGTTTACGTAAACAACAGAGAACAGTGTTACCAAGTCTGCGGTTCTCCTGCGGAATTGGGCTACTTTAACACTGTTGCCACGGGTTGAAGTGACCCCAATAATGTGATATTTAGCCCCTGGAATGCGAATTTTTCTGGAGGATCTAGAAAAGTAACTGCGTTAGTTACTTTTTATGAAAAGTAATGCGTCGTTACGTTACTTGTGTGTTACTTTTTACATAACGAATTTTTGTGTTACCATTTAACAATTGCAGGTTTGCAGAATATTCTGAGTTTGATATACTGATCTGTTTTTGTGTAAGTGAGATGAGTATGAGCGGTCAGTCAATGTATGGGGAAACAAAGTAACGAGTAACTTATTTGAAAAGTTACTCTTGTAAATTAAAAAGTAGCCTAATGCGTTACTTTACTAGATGCTTGAAAAAAAGTAATCTGATTACACGTGTAACTAATGCATTACCCCCCAACACTACCTGACGATATACAAAAATACAGTAGACTGTTTACAGATACAGATCCCCTGTAAAGACCTCGTCTCAGACGACCACCGGGACAAGACCACAGGAACCAGATGAGTCCTCTGCACAATCTGACTTTGCTGCATCCTGTAATTTTACTTCTTGTTTCGTCTTGTCAAAGGAGAACTGGCCCCCCGACTGAGCCTGGTTTCTCCCAAGGTTTTTTCTCCATTCTGTCACCGATGGAGTTTTGGTTCCTTGCCGCTGTCGCCTCTGGCTTGCTTAGTTGGGGACACTTCATTTCCAGCGATATCGTTGACTTGATTGCAAAGATATTATTTAAACTGAGCTGGATGTTGACATCACTGAATTCAATGATGAACTGTCTTTAACTGAAAATGAGTGTTTACTATTGTGATTGTGCATTACTGACACACTATTTTCCTAATTAATGCTGTTCAGTTGCTTTGACACAATCTGTATTGTTAAAAGCGCTATATAAATAAAGGTGACTTGACTGTTTATGAATAATCAATTAAGATTCTCCGGGGGATAATATAATGACACCACTGTTTGGAACAGTTATTTTCTAAAAGTCCAAAATACGTTGTTTAAAAATATGTATATAAACATATTATATTATTAAAATGTTACTGGAAATATGTTGTTACAATTACAATTAATGGCTTTAATAATGAATCGCTTTGGATCTGCTGTCGCTGTGTTTATATGCATGTGCGTTAACGGTGACGAGAATGACCGCAGAT